TGTAATATTGGTATATCAAATTGTAGCCAGTAGCCACATATGTTTTAGACATGACGTATCAAGGCTTGATAATATTGAATGTGTAAATTGTTGGGATTATGGGCAATGTTTGTATAAATTTTGATATGGGGTAACATAATTTTGGACAATATTTGCAAAAGTAACGTGGTGGAAATTTCGTAAATAAATGGTGTTTTTACCTCACGTGATAAAATAATGATATTATATAAAATAGCGTGTTACTAAATAAAATGACATGATTTTTTTAAGGAAAATAAAGAATCTTTAAATTTATGCTATTTTTGAAAAATACACTCACTAAAAAAAAGAGGTGTGTAGCATCATTTATTTTGTTTGTTTAAATCAATTATAAATGATGTAAATATATTTTGCATCATTTATGTAAGCGACTCTAAAAATGGTGATGCAAATATTAACATCAATTAAAAAGATCGATACAAATATTTTCATCATTTATATTAATCGATGCTAATTTGCATCGATTTAAAAAATTGATGCTAATATTTACATCGGTTTAATAATTGATGCCAAATATTTTTTTATCAATCAAATAAAAATCAATTTCGAAAATATTATAAATGGATTATAATTTAAAACTAATCGTAAATGAATTTTTTACTTAAAGTAATATTTATTTACCTTTAAATTAGTTATCGAAAATCAAAGTCAATGTTGAACTTTGACAACAATAAATAATTGAGGGAGTTTAGTTATTTATAAGACTAGAATCTTCTTACCCCCACCTTTAATTATCGATGTGGAACTTACAAAAGTAAGCAAATGATTTATTAAAAATGTGTTAGCATCAATTTTTTAGTGACATAAAATTTACAATCATTTTTTTAAATGATACTAACCAATTTTGGTAATTACGTTGGTTAAATAAGGAATGTAAATCTCCATATTTATATGTCAATTTTTTTTAAGTGATACAAATTAATATGGATTTGCATCAATATTATTAAACCGATGTTAAACACGTCAAAAACAATATCAATTACTACAATTGATGTTAAGTCACATGTTTTATATCATTTAATTAATAAATGATTTAATATTATATCATTTAGGTTTTTAATACTTTTTAAATAATGTAAAACACCACTTTTTGTGTAGTATATGTAATATTTGTTCAAAATTAGCTTATAATATTTCTCTTTTAATATATAGAAAGTTTTCTTACCTCACGTGATAGATAAAATAATGATATTATATAAAATAGTGTGTTACTAAATAAAATGACATGATTTTTTTTTGGAAGATAAATAATCTTTACATGCTATTCCTGAAAAATACACGTGCTAAAATATGTAATATTTATGCAAAATTAGCCTATAATGTTTCCTTTTAAAAATATAGTGGATTTCTTTAAGATATCTATATTTTCCGTATAATTCTACTTGGGGAAGCTGAAGATCATAAGAAATCGTTTTTATAACTTCGAATTTTGGGGATTTTCTCAATATTTTATATTTGTATTTGAAGTCCACTTGAGATATTTTCTATAAGATTCCTGTCTTTCACTCTTTATTTCTGTTAGAATCGTTGTAATTATATGATCTATTAAACTATTATCTGAAAGCAAATTTTTCTTGCAACATGTAATCGACTTTACTATTTGTTAACAAAGTGAAAAAATAAAAGTATAATATATAGTTACTTTCTATATTTGTTACGAGATAGTAATCATATTGGCATGGCCCCATGCACAATATGCGTCAGCTGCTCTGACAAAACTTTTTTTTGTATGTCTTTGTTGACGTACCTTTGTTGTTTGTATTGTATATGAAGTTTTACTACAATATATTATGTACGTTAGCTGTATCTAAGTTACATTTAAAATCATCCATAGTTGTGGATGGCTGATATACACGTGGGGTTAACCTAAGTCGCCGGCTTAATTATTTCTCTAGTTGTATATGAAACTATCGATGGTGCAATGTCAATTTGTTGCCAAATAATTTCCTTTTTTTAGTTAAAATTACTTGGTTTTACATTTTGAGTTCATGTCCATATGATTACATTTAAACGAAAATGTCAAGAGGAGGGAGCTATTACGTTTTGGGTCCTTACGTTTTGAAACACATTAGAAACCAAGATGTGAGAAAAGAGAGAGTTGAAGGGGTGTTTCTTTGAGCATTTGACAGAGGATCTTGACAGCATATGCTCGTTTGTTTGTTGAATCTTCGAGATGATAATGAAGAATCAAGATCGCCGGGTCTACAATGTTATTATTAATGAGAAATTTATTTCGGCACCCCAAAAACCAAAAATATAGTTTTATTTGGGTCTCCATTTGAATTCAAAATAAATTTTTTTGGAACGCCACATAAGAACTAAATAATATATAAAGGGTTGAGGCATGCATGTTTATAA